TTATATAACATTACATTTAGAATCTATGCCATGAATTGTGGCTGTGACAATTGGAGATGAATTGTCACAATTCCTGGTGACAATTCGATTAATGAATTGTTTTTGTACTGCCTCATTTGTATTGTTTCTCATTAGTTTTCTCTCAGCTTTATTTTCTCTATGAGCCTTCATGTAACATATTACTCAGCATGTATATAATTTGCATACACTGGAAATATTCCTTCTTAGGCAATTAGAACGCTTGCATTGCAAGCTTTAATACACAACTTAATTGACGAGGGGAGCGGTAGTGTAGTGGTTAGCGCGCTGCGCTATGAACCTGGCGACCCGGGTTCGATTCCCGCTCGATTATCTGAACCGGTCCTGGGCCTCCCCTAGGTCGACTCAGCCTGAAATGAGTACCCGGTGCGGTGTGTAAACATCGCCACTGGGGAGACAAAGGCGGTCGGGCGTGGTGCTGGCCACCCACCCCCTCGTGTACCGTTCCGGCCTTCATAGGTGCTCGCTAACAGCACTTGCCCCTACAGTCTGTTAAGGCTATACGGGGGATCTTTGTCTTGTGTGTGTAAGTAGTGCTGTGTGTATAGGTATGGGTGTGTGTGTGTGTAAGTAGTGCTGTGTGTATAGGTATGGGTGTGTGTGTGTAAGTAGTGCTGTGTGTATAGGTATGGGTGTATATGTGTAAGTAGTGCTGTGTGTATAGGTATGGGTGTATATGTGTAAGTAGTGCTGTGTGTGTAGGTATGGGTGCGTGTGTGTAAGTAGTGCTGTGTGTAGGTATGGGTGTGTGTGTGTAAGTAGTGTTGTGCGTACAGGAGGAGTGGGTAACACAGTGGTTAGCGCACGGCACTATGGACCTGGCCACCCGAGTTCGATTCCCATTCAACGCTAACATCAGTGGCGAGCGATATTAGAATCGGTCCTGGTCATCCCCTACGTCAACTCGAGTGAATACGTTAAAGGGTTTGTAAGCATCAGCACTGGAAAGACAAAAACGGCTGGGCACGGCACTTTGCTAAAACACACGTTCGAGTGTTTTAGCCGCTCTTAATAGGCGCTCGCTAACAAAAGGCACCTGCCCCATGCAACTCTCTGTTGTGGCTGTACCGGGAATCCTTTATCTTTGTGTGTGTTTTGGTGGCTGCCTGAGCACCTTAGCAGTTTCCGTGCGCACTTGCAGAGCGGCTGCAGTTTGCATGCATTAACGAATGCAGCAGCACATCAAAGACGAACGGTGTCACTGGGGCCACGTGGAGTACATCAATTATGACGCGTGACGCAGGCTGTTCATGCACACGAGCGATCGCATGCGCAACACGGGAGCGGGTCATTTCCCTTCTTCCCTTGACCTCTCCGCAGCCCAGAGGACCATGCGCCGACTCGATAAACTGCGAGATTTACCTACAGAATCTGAAACTCGTCGTTGCTCAGGGACCCCGGGAGACGGTCTTCACAGCGACTGCCAATTAATTTAAGCTAACCGAAGGAATCGTTTTCTTCATATCTATGATGCCCATTAGTTCGTGATGGACAACAGAACTTGGCGGCTGTGAGTCTGATGATTGGTGATCTCTAATAGAATTTGGTGGCTGTGAGTCTGTTGATTGGTGATGATTAATAGAGTTTGATTGCTGTGATTCTGATGATTGGTGATCACTAACAGAGTTTGGTGGCTGTGAGTCTGATGAATGATGATCACTAATAGAGTTTGGTGGCTGTGAGTCTGATGAATGATGATCACTAATAGAGTTTGGTGGCTGTGAGTCTGATGAATGGTGATCACTAATAGAGTTTGGTGGCTGTGAGTCTGATGAATGATGATCACTAATAGAGTTTGGTGGCTGTGAGTCTGATGAATGGTGATCACTAACAGAGTTTGGTGGCTGTGAGTCTGATGAATGATGATCACTAATAGGGTTTGGTGGCTGTGAGTCTGATGAATGGTGATCACTAATAGAGTTTGGTGGCTGTGAGTCTGATGATTGGTGATCACTAATAGAGTTTGGTGGCTGTGAGTCTGATGATTGGTGATGACTAATAGAGATTGGTGGCTGTGAGTCTGATGATTGGTGATTTACTAATAGAGTTTGGTGGCTGTGAGTCTGATGAATGGTGATCACTAATAGAGTTTGGTGGCTGTGAGTCTGATGAATGGTGATCACTGATAGAGTTTAGTGGCTGTGAGTCTGATGAATGGTGATCACTAGTAGAGTTTGGTGGCTGTGAGTCTGATGATTGGTGATCACTAATAGAGTTTGGTGGCTGTGAGTCTGATGATTGGTGATCACTAATAGAGTTTGGTGGCTGTGAGTCTCATGAATGGTGATCACTCATAGAGTTTGGTGGCTGTGAGTCTGATGAATGGTGATCATTAATAGAGTTTGGTGGCTGTGAGTCTGATGATTGGTTATCACTAATAGAGTTTGGTGGCTGTGAGTCTGATGAATGGTGATCTCTAATAGAGTTTGGTGGCTGTGAGTCTGATGAATGGTGATCACTAATAGAGTTTGGTGGCTGTGAGTCTGATGAATGGTGATCACTCATAGAGTTTGGTGGCTATGAGTCTGATGAATGGTGATCACTAATAGAGATTGGTGGCTGTGAGTCTCATGAATGATGATCACTAATAGAGTTTGGTGGCTATGAGTCTGATGAATGGTGATCACTCATAGAGTTTGGTGGCTGTGAGTCTGATGATTGGTGATCACTAATAGAGTTTGGTGGCTGTGAGTCTGATGAATGGTGATCACTCATAGAGTTTGGTGGCTGTGAGTCTCATGAATGATGATCACTAATAGAGTTTGGTGGCTATGAGTCTGATGAATGGTGATCACTCATAGAGTTTGGTGGCTATGAGTCTGATGATTGGTGATCACTAATAGAGTTTGGTGGCTGTGAGTCTGATGATTGGTGATCACTAATAGAGTTTGGTGGCTGTGAGTCTGATGAATGGTGGTGACTAATAGTAGGTGTTACCGTAGCAATAACGCTAAAACAGAAAATATGATCATTTACACTATGTCAAAATATGAATGCATCGATCAATATCCTCAATCTACAACCAAGTAAGAACCCATCGAGTATAAGGGTGACCTGAAACACAATAGAATTCCTATCAATTCCTTGACAACATCATCCTACAGAGTCTAAATATTAAGCAACGTAGAGGGAAAAAGCCTTGAAAAAAATATTAAGCAATTAAAATAAAATGAACGTGTGAAGATGTTAATGAGCGTCACCTTACTCATTCCACATTGGGGCAAGGGTATGTGTATTTACTTCCATTGACAAATATTGGTTTCAAATAGACGTGTGCGACAAACAGGTTCAGTATCCATGGAAATCTGCCACGAGGAAGGGAACCTCGCCAAGAATTCGGCTGGCGGTTGGATACGTACTGTGCGAAAGAAGTTCTACATACAAAAGGCCACCCCCATGCTAAAGCCCTTGCCATTCATTCCATTCTCCTGCTTGCTGCCTAATGGCATTCTTAGCCAATGGCATGTCCCACTTTCAGGGTAAACAATGATGCCAATTACTTACCCAGTTTGAACTAACAATCGCCATACTGATGAGTGCTGTTGTTACCACATCGTCAATAGCAATTAGCAATGCTAGCGTCCTAAACTAGAATGCTCATATGAGTGTGTGGCAGTTTGCATCACCAATGACAGCCCCTAATAATGGCAATCAACGCCAGCGTTTAACACTGAAAACGATTCAGCCAGGTAAAGACTCACCGAGTCTCAAGACTAATTTCCTGGAGGGTCCTGCATTGGGATGTTTGGCCAAATAACATGAAGAAGTAATTTGACACTTTAGGGGGGGGGGGGGTCAACTGGAGTACCCGGAAAAAAAAACCCCGCACACAGACACACACGAGAAGGTGACAACACCATCTTCTTGGTTCTTTCGGTAAAGTCACGTAGAATGGAAATAATAAAGTAATAAAAATAAAACATAATTTAAAAAAAATTTCATTTTCATTATTTCATTATTTCCCTTCTACGTGACTTTACCGAAAGAACCAAGAAGATGAATCCCTGCAGTCACGAAAGCTTTAAATCGTGACAACACCAGTTTCTTCCTGATCACCTCACGGCCTCAACACAATCCTGGCAAGGCCGCGGTGCTTCACCTACCAACGCACCAACTATGCTTAGCTTTCAAAAAGCGGGCACACGCGTGGTGAATTCATCTCAATCCGTGTAAGCTATGTTATACATTTAGGAGGCAGACTACGTACGCGAAGCTACGTGCCATGCATTGCCTCACGACTCTTCTGACTGTCATCTTCAGCTTTAAACAAATATTGGGTGCATAGCATCGGCAGACTTCCCCCCCACGTATAAACTTTCAGTGGATTTGCAACACAACCCTCGGACGACGATGATACGGACGAGCAATGACACGCATTGGATTCTCGCACATCTCCATTCATGATATTGCCGAGCCCTCTGTCAATCCACTGCTGGATGAAGGCCTTCCGATGCCGAGTTGGTCGTGAGAGTTTCTCGACCGTACTGCACTACGCTGGTCAGCGCCAGTTGGTGAAAAGGGGGTTCGGGTATCACTCGCCATCGGTGTTAGCCGTGGCTGGGAATGAAATTCAGGTCACCGGGTTAACAGCGCGGAACGTGATGCACTGCACCACTGCTCCTCCGGACCGATGGCTTGCACGTGCGCAATTATTCCTTGGCAGCCGATTTATAGAATTAACTGGATTTTCACAAAATTACCCGAAACTAATGTCCCCGATTCACTAACGTTAGCCTTGGCCAACAATGAACCATCGAACTCAGGTCGTCGGGTTCACAGTGCCTTACACTTACCCACTGTGCCACAGCTGCACGCCAACGACATATGACGAAACACACCGTTTTAAAATGTGAAATACGTGTGAATGTTTTTTTGTGTGTGTGTGTCAACGATCAACAAGCGGGAAATGAGCTTTGGCTTAGCATTGCACTTGGGGAAAATAAGGGTGTAAAAGCTCTCACCATCTGCAGCAGGCCTATGTAGGACATGAGGTATCCGTTCTGCTCTGGCTGCAGCTTGAAGTACTCCATAGTCAGCAGAGAGAACATGCTGTGGAAGATTCCTGGGTGGCGACAAAAACAGGGAACGCAGGAGGGCAGCGAGGCTTAAAGGAGAGATGCTTTTGTAAGTACAGCTGGTGGGATAATTGCAGAGGCACACAGGCTACGTTTAGGAATTGCAGTAAAAGGTCACAGATGCTTAACAGCTGGATATATAGTGCCATTAGATACATCCTTGGTGGTTAATTCCTCGCCTTTGATTCGGTCAATTAAAACATGCTTTCCGCTCCTTACTAGCGTGATCGTCGTTAACGAAGCCGCGTGCGGTGCATGTTCATTGTTAGACGTGCCTTTTTCCGTGCGAGACAGGAGAAACAGGAGTCATGACACACTGGCTTTCCCGGGTGATTCTACCTAGTTACATTGAAACATGCTTCCTGTCACGTTGATTGGATTAAACAAAATGTGTGGCCAAATGTAGGGCTGACCAGAAACACTTAAAAGCTAAATTAAAACGTTAGGATGTCTCAAAGTTTCCTAATCATTAACCACAGGCGGCGTGGGTCAGAAAAAACTATCTTTGCTCCGTTGAATATTTTATCACTCCTACGCTTGTTATTTGAATTTCGAAAAAAGAAAAGTAAAATAGCCTTACAGCAGTCTTATGGACGATGAATAGACATGTATTAAGTGCATAGAATAGGCGTCAAATATGTACACAAATGTAAAAATAACAATAACAAATATTCAAAAGTGCACAAAAATCATGACATATATACAGGGTGCTTTCAAAACAATGTTAACACTTATATGGGACTCGTTTTTAATGGACAAAGAAGGGATAATACAATGTAACATGATAACGATTGTATATTAATAGCTTTAAAAAGTCAAAGAGTCTCCCACTTGTTCGCCATCATTGTCAACACGTGCCTGGAATCTTCTCCAGGTGGTCTCCAGAGCCCGGAGGCAGGACATTTCTCGTGGTGTTGTTTGAAATTCTCAGAAGTGTTAACAATTTTTTGAAGCACCATGTACGTGCTTAGAAGTACACCAACAGACAGAATAAGGAACACGCGATTCAGGGAACAAATACATTTCCCTGCCACCATTCCATTCTAATTCTTGCTTGCGGCAATATGTTCAGGAGCAAAATGCCAATGTCGATCGACGCCCGCTAGCCACGAGAGGGCTTAATAGCCAAGCGTTAATGAAAGAGGGCTTGGGCAGGAGACATCACTCGAAGGCGACGGACAAGACTGGTGGATGGAAAGGCAGCCGAAGGAGGAACATCCCCCAGAGGGATGACCGCCATGGAGATGAGACAACTTCGCATGCAGGATCCGGTTGTGGATTTACGGCATCGCGAGACCACGAATGGCGATCTTGTGGAGAGGCATTCGTCCAGTGGTGAGTAAGACCCATCGCTGTTGACGATGGTGATTACGCGTAGCCGTAAGTAACCGTATTGTTTTTCAACGGAACCTCCATTGTCGCGTAATAACGTGCAACATTGCAATTTATTTACACCGCAAACACTCGTTCGCCCGAACCAATTTTCAGATGCCCTTGCCTGTTTAGGATGAGTGAGCTTTTGCTGCACTGGGCAATCTGCCGTGTAAATTTATTTGCCGTGCCCATTCGGCAACCGTGCATGCTGACCAGGTGGCTGTCCGGTTGCACTGACCGTATCTCCGCAGCAATAATATATTGAACTAAATTGTGACTGCGTCACTGCTCCCTGTCCGTTCCGCTGTAAGCGCGGTCTGTCTGCCCGCGTAATGTGTAGGTGTGGCGGGCGTGTGTGAGGATGTGGTTTGTCAATATTCCTGTTCGACCCACAGCTATTCACTGATGACAACGGATTCCGACGGATAACTGCGGCCACAATTTTTTGTTGTGCCAAAAAGGAAATAACGCACTGCCTGTGTGTGTGTGGCAATGTGGCTCTCTGTGTGTGTGTGTGGGGAGCGGTGGTGTAGCGGTTAGCACGCTGCGCTACGAACCTGGTGACCCGAGCTCGATTCCAGCTCACGGCCAACACCAGCGACGATTATCTGAATCGGTTCTGGGCCTCTCCTAGGTCGACTCAGCCTCAAATGAATACCTGGTGCGGTGTGTAAACATCGCAACTGGAGAGACAAAGGCGGTCGGCCGTGGTGCTGGCCACCCACCCCTTCGTGTGCCTTGGTGGTCTTCATAGGTGCACGCTAACAGCACTTGCCCCAACAGTCTATTGAAACTATACGGAGGATATTTGTATTTGTACATGCACATACATGTCCGGCCACCTTTCTCTCCCCTTTCTTTCCCCCAGTGCTGACGTTTACACTCCACGCTCCAGATAATTGACAACAACTCTGCAGGTTGCCCTGCGAATGTTTTTGATAACGTCTCAAAGAGCCTGCATTTTCATCTCCTGATTTAGTCCACGATACTTTGACTCAGCCTTAAACGAGTACCTGGTGCGCTGTGTAAACATCAGTTCTGGTGGCTGACAATAGTGCTGGCTTCACCAGCTACCCTCGTGCACACTGCCCACATTCGTAGGTGCTTGCAAACAGCAATTGCCTCCGCAGCATGAACAGGCAATGTGGGAGGATCTTGAACCTGTGTGTGCACGCGTATCTACGTATGTTTTACTTATACTGGTAGGAGCCTCTGGTTACACCAGCCCACAGGGGATTATTGTGTCCGTCCGTCTGTCGTGCAGGGAGGGGATGGGTGGGGAGGGAGGGTGGGGAGGGGCTGGGTGGGGAGGGTGGGGAGGGGCTTGGTGGGGAGGGTGGGGAGGGGAGGGGCTGGTGGGGGGTGGGAGGGGTGGGGCTGGGTCGGGAGGGGCTGGTCACCTCGTGGTGCCCTTATAAAACTCAACGTTTAACCTACTCACGCCGGCTTGTGCCCACCCTCACAGTCGGGCATATTTGCGGAATACACCACGCCGCCGTTGACCCTGGCCATTGACCGAGCAACCCAATGTTCCTACCAGCTCCCTTCGCAGGAATGTGTTTTCGCACCGTACGTAGCCAACCGCGCTGATCGGAAGTGCCCATACACACAAGTGCACACATGCTCAGTCGCCATGCATAGAGATGAACCCAGACACCATCACGCAGGCTGCAGTCTTCCAAAGGAGCAGTCACCAACATGCTCATATAGACATGCAATGAACCAACAATAACACTCGCGCACTCATGCATACTCATTACACCTCAACTCACGCCGATTCACGTTTCCATGTGTCCGGAATAGAGTAGCTTCAAAAAGACGTAACATCGCATCGGGCACATTTTTTGCTTATTATTAACGGAACTGCAGACTACATTTGAGCCTACGCACGGCAATGACTCACAAATAAACACACCTACTCTAGAGCAGAGCCTCCCTACACAGTAGCTCTGTAACGTAAGATATGCAGCTGTCGTTGTGGTTGTTGTTGTTCCTGAAAGCGACGTTCAGTGGCGTGACTTAACCCAACGGAGGCAATGTCTGCTGCCCATTCCCTGCGTATGGCGCGGGGCATTCACTTTCGGGGGCCCATTGCGCCGCTGAGCATCGCTGTGCTGGATGAGTGCGTGAAGAGGATGAATAAAATATGAATTAAATATTTCATCCCTTGGATAGCGGATTGAGAGCCCGGAGGAATGTGGCGGGGTGGGGGGGTGATGCATAGATAGCACCTTTTTATTGGGCTGGAGGAATGTGTGCCCGGATCGTGTAAACCTGTTCCCCGGTCTGTGCCAGGTAAGCGCGGTTACCCTGCTGTTCGCGTTAACACTGCTCGTACAGATATATTGCCGTGCCGCGCAGCGCAAGCGTGCCGATTGAAGTGAGCCCAGCAACGTGGGCAAGGGAATTGGGACGGAGGCTGAAAAGAAGCGTGGACAGATGTGTGCTTGGGATTGCACCGAGAGACGTAACGAGGAAACGATGGATGAGAGAACATACGACGCACGCAAGCTACGGATATCATTGATTTCCAGAACAAGACTTTTCTTCTGTTTTGAGGGGGTTGAACATAGTGACTGAGAAGTCGCAGTTTGTTTGAATAGAAAAGTGTTGTACGAGACGTTGGTGAGGCCGGTTCCTGTTGTATGGGGCCGAGTGCTGGGGCACAAGCAAGAGGGAGGACTAAGCTGTGGCTGTCGCAGAGACGAGGATGTCGCGGTGGATGTTGGGTTCAACAAGGAAAGGACGGCGGGAGAAATGAAGAAGTGAGAAGATGACTCAAGGCGGTGGATGTCACGGGGAAGATGAGAGAGAAAGAGAGAAAAGGCTCTGGTGTGGTTTGGTCATGCGGAGAGACAACAGGAAAATGTGGGTCAGAAGGTGCCAAGTGATGCAAGTGGAAGGAAAGCGATGAAGAAGCAGAAGAAGAGGTGGGGGCGGGGGGGGGCGATGTGGTGCGATCGGACCGTGGTGGCCCGAGGAGCGGAAAGAGAGATGGCGCAGGACAGGGCAGCGTGGAGAAGGTTGGCAAGGACAGCAAACACTCCGCACGAGTGGGACAAACGCGTGGACGAAGAAGACCGTGATGAAAACTAAGTGGGCTTGGGAAGGACGCGTCGCTAGAAGGGGCGATGGCTGATGGTCGAGACTAACGACAAAGTGGCAGCCAGAGGAGTGAACGGAGCCCAAAACGACAGCCATCCGGCGGGCACAGCCGCGAAAACCTACGCGGTGAGGTGAGAGGGTCGCATTCGCGAACCGTTGTGTGTACGCTGCACAACAACAACAACAACAAAATGGCCCGAGTTGATTTGAATGCAAGTTGGACCCTGATTTCACTGCATTCGCCCCATTGCTGCGGTAATTGCTGGTGACTCGTCAAGAGCAATCGCCTTGTCGATGAATCTTAATTTTGCGGTTAGTGTAGCGTGCAACGAAGATTATCTCAAGTGAGCATGAGCTGAGAGAAAATCACACGCACAATTAGTGTTAATTCTTGTCACGACAAATCCAATAAAAGTTTAAGCGACAGAGCAGGGGATTCCGCTCGCATACCCGAGTGTCACAAGTGGAAACAATTCTACTGCGCCCTCCTCAAGAAAACTAGTTCAAT